GGCTTGGTACGCGCTCCTGAGCGATCATCAGAAGCGGCGACTACAGGTCCAGCAGAACATATCACTACGGACCATCACCGGTGCAGGTCGCTACGTCCGGAATGACGTCATCGCGGCCAACCTTAAAATGGAGACCATCGAGGAATTTGTGGCCCGACTTGCGCGCGGCATGTTCGACCGCGCTGACAACCGGCCACATGAACACTTACATAACATCACACCTTTACATGCTCGGCCACCGGACGGGCGACCTCTACCAAGAGAACTCTTCTCTATAGCGATTAGAGAGTCGAGTAACAATCCACAATGCCGCAGATAGGCCAACTTAGACGCCTATGTCGAATTAGTCACCTATAGGCTGACTTAACCGACCAGTCCACCTTGGACCACCATAAGCCGAATTAGGAGCCTTTTTCAGGATAGGCCAAATTAGACGCCTTTTTCAGGATAGGCCAAATTAGACACCCAATCAATATATTACACATATTAAACCATCATACAGCGACAGGGGAATCGAACCCGGATCGCTGCAACACACCTACAACGCCATATCGGCTCCCACGATCGGTGCATAGTAATTCACCGCGAGGAGATTCCGGGTGAAGGGGGCATGCCCCGAGACCCGACACCTGCTGTGTGCTAACAAGCACACATGAGGAAGATAACGTAGTGCAAATCGTTCGGGACCAGCTACCAGTAATATATATAATCAAAAAAGAAAACATATAGGGAAGTGACAGGGAAAGTAATTGCACTCTCACGGAGCGGTTTGAAGACAATTGCTGTTTTATTCCCGAGGGATCCTTCACCTTTAAATTAATCTACAGTTCATTAAGTGCTAGCAAAGCACATATCGAAGAAACAGCATAAAAAGACGTCGGGACCGGGGCGACCTCGGAAGACTAGGGGTCTTCTGAACTGTCTTGAATCTGAATCCCCGTCTGAACCTTTCTTTTGAGAAATGTTTTTCAGACACTCTCTTGTGATACTCCTTCACGGGGTTCACATACGCCTCGTTGACCGCCCGAACACAACGTAGGTGTCATTGGAAATTCAAGACCAAGACCAGTCGTAGGAAGACCTCTCAGTTGGCCCTTGATTGTCTGAATTATTGGAGGGAGTGGTCTGGATAAGGTTTAATATGTTATATTTACGATAATAAACCGAAATCATGTTCATTTTTTGCTCCATATCTTGACTTACAATATCTTAATGCACAACCGGGCATATTTTCTTTAAAATATTTTTTTTAAATACATGAAACGAATACGTCTCGACTTTTTGACGATGTCACTAAGACTAAATGACAAAAATCGGAGATATATCCTATAGGACATAAGTTACAGACAACAATTTTGCTACTGATGTCCGGTCTATTACTACTACTACTTAAGGTGAAAGCTCCAGGGTGGCCCGCGAAATTCAAATATTCTTGCGTTTTTTGGAATTTGCAGGTCAGGGTCAGGTTGAATGTTTAATGAAATATGATTCGCGGCCGTAACGAGTTCGTGTTTATAGAATTATTTTCATTAAAATCACTAATATATATATATAATAAATAATAAATATAATAAACGCAAAAAGTTGATAAAACCAAATTTGTTAAAAAAAAATCACCCAATCGACATTTAACAAATTTGGTTTTAGTAAATTGTTGACGTAATCATTGCATTTAATGCATTTTTAACGATGGTGCAATTATATTCAAGCAAGGTGCACTTTTTTATACTATAAAAAGTACCCAATTCTAATTATTTAAAGTAATATCGACGTTATAAGGTGAACGAATTTATCTATTTTTTATTTCTATATTACAAAAAAAGTTAAGGTCAAGAAATGTCTTTTTGTACTTATGTTCTCTATATTATCGATAATGCACACTGTATTTAATTATTTCATATTTCACCCACCGTTTCATGATCATGACAGATTTTCGAATTTTAAATGAACAAAATTAATGTACCTGCGACAAATAATAATATTTTTCATTTAAAATCTGAATAAAAAAATTCAGTATGATATCCAGCAGGACCGAACATGCTCGTATAACTTACCATTTGTGATCAATTATGTGCAAAACGTTGCTATATACCAATTAATAATAAATAAGTATTGATTTTTAAAACAGTTTATTTAATTTTTACTCAACTAATCATTATTATTTTATATTAAAAATACTATAATATGGGATTGTAATATGGGATCAAGGATCTCCATCCCATCTCCATACCTTTGTTTACTGTACAATATTATTGTACAATATTATTGTACAGTAAACAAAGGTATTTGGTATACAAGCAAAACTATTATTTTCCCACTACTCTTTCAATATTCATTTTTATTGTGTAGGTGATAACTTTTTAACTTTGTTCACATTGATATAAAACAAAACGCGTGTGTGTACTTATGTACGCACGTAAGAAGTTATACTTCTTTAACGCAACAAAACAAAAATAACTAAAATAAAACACGTTTTATACATTCATATATATTTGAATAACTACCTCGAATATAGTTATCATTTCTCACGAAAACTTAACAATTGACAGACAATTACCCACTGAAGTTGTAAAAATTTACTCTCATCATTTTTCTCTAACGCGCCAAACAAAAAATAACTTCAAAACTTGAGTAAGTACGTAGCACACTCAGAACATTGTTTAAAACAAGTTGCAAGTTAACTGCCTGCATACTTAACTCATTGTTTGACTGTGTACCTAACAAAAAATCTGTAGCAGAGTATGTATTACGTAAGTGTACATATGCGGTGAAGCCTGGTGAAGCAGCTCAAGCGAAATTTAAGCAATAGCAACCCAAAACTAATTTAACAACTCAACAATATCCATTGCTTCATGTGATTTGCTCGACAATAAAAACCACGCAATGGATATTGATAAACTGTCAAATTGGTATAGTTTGCCATTTTAGGTGTTGTAGCCGGTGGAAGGAAAAGGGGAGATCTCCCGCTAAGGTGTTCTGCCCGGGGAGCGGTTAACGCTCCGATTGGTAGTTCGGAGCTATTCTATATATTATACTGCTTTAACTTCGTAAATTCGGAGCGTCGACAGCGCCGCCACATCACCCCCCTGCTCAGACCGGAGGTCGATAGTGTAATCCGATTGCCGACGCATCCTTAATGCCGGTGGGGAATGCATGCTGTGTGCGTAAGGACAAGTGACGCCGCTGCGAACGATAAGCCGGTGTGTAATGTATGCCATGCTACGCACTTGCAAGTGATGCCGGCGAGAACGAGGAGCCGGAGCAAGTGCTAGGGATTGCCTTATAGGCTGCGGTGAGTCAAGAAGAAGGCAAGTAATCTGCGAGATTCCCGTGAAGCAGAGGCGAGCAGTAAGGCTCAGAGCCATGCCGGACACTGTAGCGCAGAGAGTAGCTTGAAGGAATAGGATGCATTATTATTCCAGTGCTGCGATAAACCTTTGTAAAGCTAGATTGCTAGATTGTTTGCAGAATGTGAAGACTGCAGACAGTATCTGCTTGAGAGTGAATGAATGGGGTACTTGAGGATGATGACGATGGTTTGAAGTTGTAGTTTCCGAAGGTTGTTCGTTGCGTGTTCATATCACGTCGGGGTCACCATTGTAGCCGGCGGAACGAAAAGGGGAGATCTCCCGCCGGGCAAGGTGTTCTGCCCGAGGAGCGGCTATCGCTCTGATTAGCCGCTACTAGTTCGGAGCTATTCTATATATGTATACTGCTTTAACTTCGGAACTTTGTTAGCGCGATTTAGGCTTCGAAGTTTTTTCGCTTGTAGCGCGTCGACAACGCCGCCACAGTGTGTTACGCAATTAGGCTACGGATTTAATTTCTATCTACACAAAAGACATAAAACTGTCAGACACATTATTTATTACTCAGATAAATTATTTGACGATGAAAATTCAGCCCTTAATATATATAATACCTAAGAAATAAAGTAAATTAAGCAAAAAAAATGCAATTATATGAAACAAGAACAAACTCATATTAGTAAAAATATCGATATCAGCTGCTCATATTGCTGAGTTACAACCCTATAAAAGGCGGCCATTTTATGCGCCAGATTTGTTTAAGTAGTCACGCTAATTCTGTAGGTATGCTCAGTCCATATACTTCTAAGTCAGTGAGAATAACAAATGTCCTACACAGATGTGACACTATTGACGTTGTACCTAATAAAAAGAATATTTTCATTACGTTTTTTCAATAGTGGTGTCTTGAAATAAATAGATAATAGACATGCAGTTTATTGTAATTTTTATTTTTCTCCGTAGGTACACAGTCTCAAATTAATTTAATATTTTAATTAAATCAACCTGTTATTTTACTATGTTTACTGGGATCGCTTCTTGTTATGTCACATTTTTTACTCCTGTCACATGACCCGCACTGTCAAATGACTCTTGAAAACCAACTATAGACATGACTCTTAATTTATAAACCACTTTGTTTTAGATCATTGTAAATAAATATATTTGATTTGATTTGATTACACTTCTTGCTTTTAACAAATATTCAAAATAGTTACCATCATCATCATCATTATTACAGCTCTTCACAAGTCCACTGCTAAACATAGGCCTCCCCCAAGGAATGCTATAAAGTACGGTCCTGAGCCACCCCATTATCATCAGCATCATTAAAATGTACTCGTAATTGTGACATCTTAATATGAGTATTACCAGATGTCAGTGCGCCAAGGTTAATATATGGTGACAAAAAGTACCTACCTAAATTACGGCATGCACGACGACAAACTTAATAAAAGCGCACATTTAAAAATCTGTGAGCTCGTGTGTGTTTTTACTTTTTTTAAATTACCAGCATTTTAAGGTCCATATTGTACATACAACTTATTTTGTTTTTCAACCGAATTTTAAAATAATAATAATTGAAGGAATTGATTAAAAAAATGTTTTATCGTTAACGTCAAAGTTATTATGAATTCTAAATATAGGGCATGAATTTTTAAATAAATGTTCTAAAACTATTGTTTTACTCACTTCATTTGCTGCGTTGCATATGAAGCTTGAGTTCAGAGATTCTGCAGTACTCGTCGCAGATATAGAACCTGGAAAAAGAAAAGAGCTATAACGCATACTAACAAAATATATATTGTCTGTAGCACATTTAACAAATTCTTTTATTACGGTTTGAAACCGTAATATATATTGTAATACACATTATATACTCAATTTTAAAAATAAGTTTTCATTATATAAAAAGAAAAGTCCTAGTCTATGGCCAGAGCTGTAAGCAGCCCTAAAACAATTCTTCATTTTTTTCAATCGGATAGGGATGTAATGGGACAAGTTATAATTGAAGCAGAGCTAAATTTAGAAAAAGCAGGCCTCCATAAACAGGTGACAACAATACAAGTTCAAAACAAACCATTTTTATTCTTAAGAAAACTCTTAGCTTCCACTTCTACATTGTCAAATTGTTAGTCTTTAATACCTTATAAGCCAACCCTGATTATTAGGAACTCCTAGTAATTAAAGTCTGTGGGTAGCCGTTTCCTAGCAGCGAGAAAGTTTACTGTCGCACGGATGGGCCAGCTCGAACCGGGGTGGTACCACGACCTCACAGAATACCAGCGTGAAGTAGAGGTTTACCTCTGCGTTGCGCTTGGTGAGTGCAGGTGGCCGGAGGCCCAATCCCCCCCCCCCCCCCCTCATCAACATGGTAGTGGAATTAAATAAAAGACTACCCCAGGAGGGTCCCATTTCGTCCTGTGGGTGTCGTAAGAGGCGACAATAAGAAATGCCAGGAAGATCTTATTAAGGCAAATCCTCCTTTCAACGGGGAAGGCCTCAGGTGAATATTACTGGCTGATAAAGAAGAATTATTTAAAAAAAGAAATGAAGAATATACGTGGATTATTTAAAGCGGGCCAACCAAACCAGTTTTTAAGCACTTTGTAAAGGGTAATAAATAATACTTGTGAATCTTATTAAGGTTATTATGATATATATTCTAAAACAACCGTTATTGTAACCGTTACAGCTTATCAAAAGTCCACAGTTGAACATAGGCCTCCCCTATAGAATAGCGTGGCAACCATGGCAAATATCTTCATATATTATCCAATATAAAGATATTTGCCATAGTCGCCACGCTCGGCTTGCAGGTTATCGACCATAGTTTTTATTTTTAGTTGTTATTAGGAAGATGCTGCTGCCCACCTCCTGGTTGGTTTTCCTCTCTTGCCTCTTACGATACCCATGGGATGATATGGGGTAGTGGATATAGTTACAATCAAAGTATAGTGTAGTATCTAACATCGCCACTATGCGATCAATAACCAATAAATATTTTAGATATATAAACGACATATCGATCTGAGACGTGGAACTTCACTACTTACAGCCGTTATGAGGAAACTTAAGATTGTTTAGCGAGCTATGGAGAGGGCTATGCTCGGAGTTATTCTGCGTGATATATTTCGAAATTAGAACTTTCGTAGAAGACCAAAATAGCTGAACGAAGTACATAGAGTAAGCTAAAGATGTTATTGTTACTGTTGTTGGTCAAAGTGTGTTGTTCAAAGTACCGTCAATGGGAAAGAAAGGCACTCGAGTGGTAACCTCGTATAGTTATTCTATCTCACGATGAAGTTTTGACTTTTTTTGTTGTTTGCCGCGCACATACACATTGCGTTAGCGTGCGTAGGCTGCGGGCGCTCAGGAGTAGCGCTCCCGAGGTTTACGCACACTAACACAATGTGTATGTACACGGTTAACAACAAACAAAATCAAAATTTCATCGTGAAATGGAATAACCATAGAATTATTACGCATAGAAACGCAGTCCAGTACAAAACACGAGCGTTAAAATGATGCAAAGTCATTATGTTAGTGGGCGCGAGTCGAAATGTGCCTACGCTCGTCACACGCACACATACACGCCATTCAGTGATACCAGTGTCTGGCGTTTGCAATCAAATTGTGCAAATCAATATTTTTTGATTAATTTAAAAAAATCGATATAATAAAGATTACGTATTACGTACGAAGATATATTTTATGAGAATATAAAATGGAATAAAATAAACACGATAATGATGGTACTAATATAACTTAATTATACATATTTTAATGGTACAAAAATACAGACGTAATAAAATTTAAGAATATTATTAAACACAATTAATTTGCTCGAATACAATAAGCACATCGTGTAATATTTAATTTTAACCGACTTCAAAACAGGAGGAGGTTTTCAATTCGGTGTATTTTTTTTAAATGTTTTTTACCTCAGCATTCTACAATTTGATTTGATTGATCCAATATACACGCTAAAATTTTAATGGTTGTTTTCCCGATGTCAAATTATTTTGTCTTGGTAATAATTATTTTATTAAAATTAGGATGCGAGAATGGCAGGTTTACAATCGAGAAAACAAAACTCGAATGCGATCTCAAAACAATAGCAATATCTCGCAAGTAGGTCGGGCGTGCAGGTTAGCTTATACCGTATTACTATAAACTGAAAATAATTTCGCTGGATGTAACTTAGTGTTACGTCTATCGCACGCGCTACCGCGCGCTGCCTACACAGTGAAGGGCCACTAATAAATGTTCAGAACATGAACTCTCAAGCGTAGTGATATGACATAAACTAGTAAATATAGAATTGTCTTAGAAATCAGTGTACATACATATTGATAACCTCTCCTTTTTGGGAGTCGGTTAAAATAGACTATGTTTGGGTCTAAAATAACATCTGGTTAATGTTTGGGTGTAAAGTGACATCTGGTTAGTTAAGACGTTCTTATTAATAATATCTTGATGTTGTAAATAGAAAAGTTTTTATTCTATATTCTAAAACGTAGACTTAGTCAATAAACAAAGCAATTAAAATAGTTGCGTTAAAATAGCGTCGGCGTATCGCGATTAGCTGATCACTCCGTATTAGTTTTAAATAGGCACCCATTATTAATATAATGTTAACACTCAGAGAAGTAGGTATCTATATATAAACATTTGAGTTTTACACAGAGCGTTGCGATTAAACGTTTTAAACACAAATAGAAAATAAATATTTTTAAAAGAAAATTGTGATTTTTTTCCCACAACTAGCAACATTTGTATTAGGATAGCTTAGGTAAGTATTTTTTTAGTTTTACGTAGTTATAATGAATTAAATATATAAATTTGTATGTGAAATGCAGTACCATCACTTCTTTTATGTTTATCATCACTGTTGTGACAATCTTTTACAACAAAAACGGTCATTTTTACAATTTTTCGCGAGCTCTTCTCCGTAAGACATGACGTTGCACACTGACGCGTCGCTGAGTGAACTAACGCGGTTTCGCGTTAGTTTAACTTGCTTCACTTTCCGTGCGCGTACTAGTATTCTATGCGTAATAATTCTATGGGAATAACTATACCAGCGACCGAAGTGTAGGATGGTCTCCTACTAAATGGAGTGACGCCCTGTTATCAGATGAAGAAAATCGATAGATCGCTCTGTCATTCTTTGGGGAAGGCCTATGTTCATTGTTCAGTAATGGGCTATTATGATGAAGATGATGATCTCTGAGCAACGAATTCTTGTCGGCTGAAGTTGTTTGTATTTACTTTGCTTCTTTCTATAAGTAAAAAAAAACCTGCGAACAGCCGCAACCCGCAAGTAAAGATTTTAAAACTACTTCTTTTTTATTCATTACTTTTCTCCTGATTGCATTTTCTGTAAGTCAAACCGTGGTGGGTCAGTGAAATATCTATGATAAAAGTTTTATTCAAATTATGTAACAATATATAAATTAAAAAAATGTTCTCACTTCAAACTTACGTACCTGGTGCACGAATTACGTAATTTCTAAAATAGTGAACCATGAGATAGTTTCCGCCAGTACCATTTTTTCCATCGCCTTCGGCGCATGTGATCACTAGAGGGTACAGATCCGGTTTTGACGTAACCTAAAACATTTTTTTAATCAAATAGCTTATATTCTTAATAAATACACATTATACTACTATAGTAAGCGAGGATAATATGGTCATCCGGTTAATATGGTCATTTTCTTGTAACTCAAAAACTACATAATTTTTTGCGTAGATGACTCTGTGATACAATAGCTCTTCATTAGTCAATCAAATAATAAAAAATCAAAAGGGTGCTGCTTTATCGACATTAGATATAATAAATATTTTATTAGATTTTAGTATTGTGTAGGCATTGAACTATTATGTACTAAATAATATATCAATGTGTGTTTGTGTGTTTTGTTTTTAAGTTGATTGTTTGAAGTGTAATTGTCATGTACATGTACAATTTTTCTAATTGCCAAAGCTTTTTTACAATTTTTTTCTTACTAATCTAATAAAAGTTGTAGTAAGATACATAGAACACTATAATACAGATACGACATTGTGTTTTTGTCTATGTCTTCTGCCTAGTTTTAGTTTTATAGGGTGGCGTAGCTTAAGGTGACCATATTAGCCTCACGTACTTTACTACGTTGAAGAAATGCTTTTCTCCCAAGGAATCCGTCTAGTTAAGTATCACGTTCTTGTACCTACCTATTACTGTCACCAAACTCTGAACAGAGGCGGTATAGGTAATTATAGGCTAAGAGGCACTTAGTCTCACAACGCATAGCCTACATTGTTTGAAGATGAACGATGAACGACATCAGATGAACTCTTATCTGGCTTGTCACTTTATTTTTTATAAAAAATAAAACATTAATATTTTTGACCATTATTATTTTTAGCAAAGAGATAGATTAAATTTTAAAATAAGAACCTACTTCAGAATATGGCGGCGGAGCCTGATGGAAAGAACTGCAGCGACTATATCGCGGTGGCGGATATACTGAGCCGGCGGAGTCATGTTCCGAATTCGGTCGTCGAACGCAGCACGATAAAGCGCACATGTAATAGCCTTGCGGACGCTCTAAGAAGAAGCACCACGCGCAGCAGACAAAGATGCTTAGAAGAATGCCGCAGCCGAGAATAATAAAGACTGACCTGAAATTTTGGAATAACAGGATAGGGAAATTCAATAAATTTATATACATTTACACAAGTAACATAGAGCAATTTTCTTTTTGTTGTGTGCTGTTGTTTCCCGCGCTATACCTTAGAGAGTGCGGTATATCAGTATGATAATTCTATTGATTGCTTTAAATGCTTTATTATACTAATATGGCAATAGATTGAAAAATAAAAATACATTTTTTTATAGAATTAGGATGACAAACGAGCACACAGTCCACCTGATGGTAAGTAGTTGCTGTGGCCCATAGACATCTACATCTATCCTCGATTACGAATCAAAATGCAGATGCGTTGTCACCCGTAAGGACTAAGATGGAATGCCTCGTTTCCAATAAAAAGGGTCTCCGGTTCTCTACACTCACCATACGAAACACAGCAGCATTAAGCTCCTATTTTACGCTGGTATTCTGTGAGAGCGTTGTCCATCCCCGATCGAACCGACCCATTCGTGCAACAACTATACTATTAATATAGCAGATCTATACTATTAATTACCATCTATACAAGAGACTACTAGAAGATATGCTACTTCACTATTAAAAAACGTATACGTGGAAGAGCCACGCTGCAGCTATATTATGATGATAGCACGAATGGGTCGGCTCGACCGGGGTAGGACCTCGCTCTCACAGAATACCAGCATAAAATAGCAGCTAAATGCTGCTGAGTTTCGTATGGTGAATGTAGATAAACGGAAACCTTTTTTACATCTTAGACCTCGGGGGTGACAATGCATCTACATTTTCATTCTTAATTGAGGATAAATCTAGATGTATATGAGCCACAGTATCCACTTACCATCAGGTGGACTGTGTGCTCTTTTTTTCACTCTTAATTTATAAAAAAAATAATTTTAATTGCAACTTTTAAGTAATCGTTGCACTGACTTCACGTCGTGACTTAAATATTCGTGATGCAGACCTTTATATGTTTGTAAAGGATACAATCCTACTATAGACTATACGGTCCTAGTTGGGATGCAGTTAGCTGGAAGATAACCTACATACATTAAACACCACTAAAACAAAATTTCTATGTTTTACAAAAACTGCTGCTTACAATCCACGAAACGAATTTTAAATAATAATTCACACGCATCCATGTAATAGAAACGTGTTATGCAATTTATCCACCCTAAAAATCCACTCTAGGGTGGACACTCGGAAACGCGTGTTCACATATCCACCCCAGATGAGATGGATAATCAGGATTCGTATATTATTTTTATTCCGATTTTTTCCCTCGGCTGTTTACAGTCATTTATAGAAATATGATAAAAACTGACCCAAGATACTTATTAGACGTTAGCATATCTACAAAAATATTACTATTAATATACTTTTCGTTTGAGAGATCAACCCTAAAATAAAAGAGTACTTTGCTACGCAAGGGCGATGGAGCTGCACTCCCCGCAGCGCCGAAGCCGTTGCAGAAGTAACTATTTCAATATTGCTGCAACGCAAATTTCAACAGCTCGTTGCGGTGAAAATTTTAGAGCAACTAATTTTTAAATTTGGTACTTAATTAGCACATAAAGAGCCCCTAATTTGGGCTTTTTCTAAAAGCACTTTTGATTCTATTCTGATTTTCAGAAAAACTGAATTTTGCATCTGCTTTGTTATGAATAACGACTTTATTTTTATTAGGGGCGCCTTGTCATTGCCTATACTTGGAGCACTTATTTAGCACTTAATTCCTTGCTATTAATATTTATCGTATATCTGATAACTTCATTGCGTTACTAACGAGACGTTTTGCTAGCAACGCAAATTTCAACAGTTCGTTGTGGTGAAAATTTTAGAGCACCTAATTTTTAACCTTGGCACCTAATTAGCACCTAAAAAGCCCCTAATTTTGGGTTTTTCTAAATGCAAACTCCTGATTTTGCGTTGCTGGCGAGACACAGCTTAAGTCTCTACCTAAACTTCCGGATGACACACGAGTGAGTTTATGTATATAGGTATACCATCAAAAACATAACTTGTAAAAAAAACCAAGTCTCGCAACTCAGTTCTTCTACCGTACAAAGTTGTGAGATCCATGTAATACCAAGTCGGTTAATTTATTTAGTCCCTACGTAAGGGTCATTCTGTCTCAAGTTATTACGTAATTAGCTAACCTAACAACATCTTATAGTAACCATATCAATATTAAAAATCTTTTATGTTTTAAATAAATAGATTGACTAGCACACTGCACGTACCACTGAGTGTACCACGGATAAGACAAAATTTCCTTTAAGGCGTCATCGTCAGGCTCGTGGCGAGGTGTGGCGCTGGCAGGCGCGCAACATCCGTGTTCGCAGCACAGCCAATGCGCCGGACACAACCGACCATCTTCACAGGGAATTTCTGAAGCACACTGATACGAAAAAATAATTATTAAAAGCCACTGCATCGGTTACACTTAATACGCTACTACATACGTTTAACACGCAAGCACTATATTTTATTTTGCGAGCGTATTGGTATGAAATTCTAATGACATCTCCATTTTTTTATTCACTTGCTTATTTTAAAACAAAGCATGACAGCCCTATCATACCCTGACCAGATCTTATATTCTTAAATAACTAAGTCAATTGCTGTTAAGTAGCCGCTACAAGTTGATATACTTGGATCGCAGATTCTGTGCTTGAATGCGCCAAAAAGCAGTTTACGTGGTAGAGCCATGCTGCAGCTATATTATGGTTGTAGCACGAATGGGTCGGCTCGACCGGGGAAGGACCACGCTCTCACAGAATACCAGCGTAAAATAGTAGCTTAACGTTTCTGTGTTTCGTATGGTGAGTGTAGAGAACCGGAGACCCTTATTACTGGAAACGAGGCATTCCATCTTAGACCTCACGGGTGACAACGCATCTGCATTTTGATTCTTAATCGAAGATAGATGTAGATGTCTATGGGCCACAGCAACCACTTACCATCAGGTGGACTGTGTGCTCGTTTGTCACCCTTATCCTATAAAAAAAAAGTTATTGTCCCCAATATTCAACCTGGTCATCTTGAGGTTGCCCTTCCTTTATCATTACGGGCGCATTTAAATCAAAGACATCAAAATCCATCGAATTACTTAGACTTCAGGTCACAAAGAAACAGATAGCTGGTTATAAAATAACTAAACTTAGTGCTTGTGACTCTTCTTAGTTTATCTAACTTATCTACTTTAGTACACTCTTCACAGTTTAACCATGTGCAATATTATATATTGTGTTATTTTTTTTTTGTTATAATTATATGACCTTTGGGGTTATACATCCACACTTGTGTCTACATTTGTCTACATAACTTTGAATTCAGATCCTGAAAACTTGTGACGATGCCGTACCTTGACTTATGATTCATTCACGAATAGATCAACGGTGGACGTCAGACGTCTAGGTATTTTTTAGTGAATAAAAAGGCATAGTTTTCACATACTGAATTAGTTAGTAATAAGAATACGATATGCCATTAAAAACATAACTTGTAAAAAAACCAAGTCTCGCAACTAAGTTCTTCTACTGTAAAAAGTTGTAAGATCCATGTAATACCAAGTCGGTTAATTTATTCAGTCCCTACTTAAGGGTCCTTCTGTCTTAAGTTATTACGTAATTATTTAACTTAACAATATCTTATAGTGACCACATAAATACTAAAAATCAATCTATTTATTTATTATTTATTTTAAACATAAATGATTTTAATTCAGGCTTCTAGTTTTATCCACAACGAAGTTATAGGATTTCTAAAATGGTCTGAACTGCTTCGAGAAAAGGATACTACGGCCGTGCCGCTGTTTTGATCTACTTGGCGGGGGCACTGCCGTGCCCCCAGATCTGGACAGCCTTTATCATCTTTGGGCATTTATTCACCCATAAGATTGCATAAATACGTACATTGAAACAAATTACTCTAAAGTATTTAGTGGTCTATCAATTATATATAGCATGTAACAAAAACCCTGTGGTTCCCGTTAAGAGCGTTATCAAAATCAGTATTTAAACGTATAGAAATAACTTTTTTTTCTAAAAACTCGACCATTATAATTTGATATTTTAATTTAAAAAAATATTATTTGCAAATTGTATGTGGGTTTATTGTGGGCATGAAATTAACTGGGATCGACTTGAGCTAAAAGTGAGGTGAGAGTAATTTTTGTCTTTAGAAAAGGCACACTATTTTTCTTGGTTGCAATTTTGTTACTACGTTATGTAAGAGGCGTGTTTATTTTTATCGAGTTTGATCTAGTTCTAGTCTATGTTCGTGGGTTTTGTAGTTCTGATGCAGTGGAGAATATAAGTTAAATGGCGTCCTTGACCTAGTTCGTTGTGCCAGTTATCTATGCATATCTATATTAAGCTTAGATTTTTTATTATTAATTCATAAACTTTATGAGATATTAAAATGTTTGCAACAAAACTTTTTGGCTTGTAATTATATACAAAAAGGTCATTAACACAACATTACGAGTATCTTCTATTTCTTAAAGTTGTAATGCAAAATTTATTTTTAACATTTTTATACTTTAACACCGTTTTACAACAAAACTATGAGTGATAAAAGGATAAGGTGATAAGACCTTTTTTTACGCGAGTATACTATTTTTTTTTTAATTTAAAATAGCAGTTAATTAGCATTAGCAGTAAATAAAGTGCTATAACCCTCTCAGAAATTTAAGTAATTGACTAAATATGCGTTGAGATACGCGTAAAGTATCTAGGGTTTCACTGTGCAAATCTCTATAAAGTTTACATGCTCCTGTATTTGATAATTTTAATAGGATTAATAGCTATTATTTATTTAAAGGTATTATATTGGTTGCATGATTTAAAAAGTTAAGGTGCACATACATATGGCAATCTTTACTAGAAATCGAAAAGTGGGAGTACGACTCGCGCCTTGAGAGTCCCGTATAAAATTAATTATGTATGTACGAGTAGATAATTCATCCTGTCAGGGGAATTAAGCAAAGAACATTGTTGCTTTGACGAAAAGGTGAGTCGGATTGAAGGACAGACTTAACTTGAGGAAAAATGTCCTCCTATTATACATCGCAGTCTACAATACGGTTTATTGCTATGTATGGTTTTAGTATGTAATCGCAAAAACATGTTTTCTATGCAACTGCAAATTATCAATATTTGGATTTTTCCCTTTACTTATGCTGCGAGACCTTACTTCTCGCTAAATTTCACGATTCCCAGTCAATGGGAAGTAAGCTATAGGATTTGATGACTCGGTTTGCGATTATCAAAATATGTGGCATATCTTAATGATGGTCGTATCATTTGATCACCTACGTTGACTTAGAAAGTTGAATTTTTTATACCTCCAAGGGACTGTATATAGTCCCTAGTATTTCATTTAAATTTCAACTTGATACCTCTATCTGTTCTTAAAAAAAGTCTATACGGACAGGCAAACTGTGTTGTTTTGATGATGATGTTATATGGGTTCCATTTTTTTTAGGTTTCCGTGCCTGAGGAGACAACCCATCGCTCTGATGAACCAGCGCCAGCAATATGTAAGGCTTTAATTTAAAAAAAAAACATCCTGAGATAGTCCAACATTTTTAGTCAGTGATTTGTTCCTAAAAATATTAGCTCATTGTATTTATTTGATGTGTAAATGAAATTAGTCCCTAGTTTAATTTAGTTTCAACATATAATTAGTTTTTATCTATTCGTTCTTCGAAAAAAAAACCATATAAATCTAGGTGATATTACACATAACCACGTCATATCACCCTCTGTGCTGTTAACACAGAATCTCAGGACACGTAACAGAGAGGCTTTCATTTACATTTTCTTCTTGGATTCTATAACATGAAAAATATGGCAAAAATCTGTAGAATTGGACAAATTTTACCACATTGTGTTTAAAACTGACCAATTTTTCATAATAAACCAATTCTCCACTTCACTTCAATTATTGTTGCATGTTAGATTTTTGTATTTTAATTATGAAATATTCGTTTTATAAAATGTTAAATGTCAATTCGACAGCAGCATTTTCATAATAACAGTTGGATAATAAAAAGCTGAGGCTGCCAACACGCTTGCAAAGCGTGGCACCTATGGCAAATATCCCCCTTATGAGGCAATCTATACGGAGGCCTATGTTCAGAAGTGAACTTTGATAGCCTGTAATGAATGATAAATGAAAAAAATTAATGTACCTATATCATAACTGAAAAGTGAAATATGAAAATGAAAATGCTGTTTTCGCGGGAAACTATTGGATGTACGGCGCATGTTTTACTGCAAATCAATAACACTGTTAGACAAAGCGCATGCATGAAAATCTCTGTAGGTACTGTTTCAGTACTATTATAGATTACTAGAATTCTTAGAAAAGTCATTTGTTTATTAATTGGTGGCGGTCAAGTTATTGTTCAAATTATATAAATACTCTGTTATGACACAGCATTCTTAAAATTATTTTTCAACATCGGTATTGCATCAAATATGTATTCTAGAGATAAAGAAAAACTTTTTTATAAAAATATATAAATTATAATATACATTTTACCAGTAGCGCTGAACTAAGAATTTAATTATTTTTAATAAATAGCAGTGCAACGACGAATGAAGAAATACTTATATTCACGATCTATTAAAATGAATGTAAAATAAGTAGGTATGCATCGCAAATTAATACTTTTCTCCAAATATATTAGCAACAAATTGAATTTAGATTTAATTAATTTAAATTAAAATCAAGCATGGTTTCGCTTCATAATAACATCTAATTAAAAAAATATATAACTTACAGCCGGTTGGCCAAAGATAACACCAAGCAAAGACACAATAAGAAAAGCGGAAACCATGATAATTATCACAAGAGACTTCGGACACGACATCTATATTTGGCTCTCATGTTTTTAAAACTAACTACTATGTGCAAAGTGCATACTTGCACCCTGCCACTCACGATATATTTTTACGAGATTTATAGGTATTTAAGATATCATCCCTGCGCGTTCTTACCGCCCCGCAGGGCAGCGCGGTACTGTACTGAGCTACTGAGTTGACAACTCGCGCTCGCAATAAAAAAGATATCCCCTGTCTCCGTTCTGGTTACACCCCTTGTTTGCGTTCATGTAAGGAAGTACCTACGTCAAATAACCAGAGCTTCTATTAAAATGGCACAATACGGCTATTAAACGGATTTTTTTTTACCTTATATAAATATTTTCTTCTATAATTTCCGTATATAATTTCATATTTTCCTCCACATTTGTAGTGGTGGTGTAAGAATATCCACTACCCTGTGTCCCACTATCAACCCGTGGGTGTCGTATGAGGCGACAGAGGGAAACAAATGAGGAGATAGGCAACAGCGTCTTTCTAATAGCGATAAAAAAAAAAACTGCGGTTGCCTACCCCTTACTAAGCTTGGCAACTATGGCAAATATCTCCCCTATGAGCCAATCAATGATGGAGGCCTATGTTGAGCAGTGAACTTCAATAGGCTGTAGGTTACAGTAAATTGAAATTATGCTGTTTCATTGAAAAAGGATCTGCATCGGGAAGATATTCGCGCCGTTTTTTTTATGATTTAAAACCTAATGGACCGTTTGATAGACTTCAAAAATGGCATTTATAGATGAAAACTTTCGCGTTTTACCCGAACGCCTTCGCGTGAGGAGAATACATAGGTTCGCGTTGGGTGTCGCATAATCTCACCCATGCAGAAGCGGGCCTGCGTGGAATGGCTCCGTGATTACAAAATTTGAAACTGGCGGTGGCCTCGGCGTATCTATGACATTATTAGTTTAGGTTAGGTTGTTACAAAATAAATTAACGCCCACCAAATTGAAGAGACAGAGAAGAGCAGGTAAGATTTTGATCGCTAAATTATTTACTTTGATACACTACCGGTATCTGATTCAAATGCAAATGCTCGCAGAAAGTGTTTGTTCACCGAGGATGTGAGCAACAAGCGACTGAACACGGGGCTATGCGGGCTAGTTATCTTCTTCAAAGGCCATCCTCACCTATTTTAATAGAAGTAAGTAAGTGTGATAAACGAGAATACGCTCCAATTAATTGGTAAACGTAGGTACTTATGCTGTGGCCCATTACGGACACCTACATCTGTCCTCGATATTCAATCAAAATACAAAGCGTTATCACCCCTAAGGGCTAAAGTGAAATGTCTCGTTATCAGTAAATACCTATAATATCCAGCAATGGATTCAGAAGGTTAATAAAAAGAAGAAAAATGTCAGAAACGTAAATTTTTCATTATTATTCTCGTATAATATTATAGTCTTGAAACAATAAAAAATCTAACTTCATAAAAAAAACCTAATTTAAAAAAAATATTATACCCTATGACCCTATGTCACTTCCACAACTAAGAAGATGATATAGTTTTTAGTGACTTGTAAAAACGAGGAGGTTCTCAATTCGACTGCACTTTTTTCTTTTTTTCTATTACCCCGATTGTAAAAAGTCAATTGGCTAAATCCGCAGATAAGTAAAAAATATTTAAAATATAATTAAGAGTACTCTAAGTCTCTCAGAATTCAAGTTCTTAATGTCAGCGCTTCGTTGTAGATGTGCTCATTAAAAGTCACATTTCCATATAGGTTCTTGCTGTAGGCGCCGCAAAATATGTATCTTCCGCTATGTAGGTACTCTTGTATTTATCCCACAGCGTTTGAGGATTGGAAATTCCAAAAGTAAAGGAGCTCCTGTATAAGTTAGAACCACGTTTGCGAGGCATTTTAAAAAGAAAAAGAAATAAACTGAAAAAGAAAAATAATCATAGAAAATATGAAAGTGAAAAAATAGAATTAAAAGTCAAATATGAAACTCAAAATAATATGAAACAAATTATCGCTTAAAAAAAAGCATTATAACCTTAAAATAATACCACGCCATACCAAATATATATCAGAAGTAAATGTTTTTGATTTATTAGTCTGTCACGTAGTAAGGCCGGCCACATACATACGGAATTCCGTTTCGGGATTCCGTTTCGATATTCCGATTCGGGATTCCGAACGCAGCAAGTCCATATAAAATCTATGACCCGCCACACACGTACGGTAGTTTTCCGTTCGATATTTTGCGGGCAAAACGGGATTCCGTTTGTGTGTGGCCGACCGTTCGAAATTCCGAAACGGAATCTCGAAACGGAATTCCGTATGTATATGGCGGGCCTAAGAGTTGCTGCACTGCTTCATTCTATAAATACCCAACGTGTTACGAAAATTTTATCAACTGCCTTAACGGGGTGAACGAACTGAGCTGAATTAGCTGCATGTAATCATTTTAAGATAGATTTTTAGAATACGATTTGTCCATATAAAGTTTGCTACCCCATTTCACCTCCTTTTTGGAGTAGTTTGAAAAAATAAATATGTAACTCTTAATCATTTGTCATCAAAAACATTTCTGCAAATTAAAGCAAATCGGACAACGCAATAAAAAGTTTCATACAAAGTTTATCCCTCCTCTCACCCAACCACCTATAAGTATCGGGTGGGCCAGAAAGGAGTACAGTACGATTTTAAAAACACTCTTGCATTTGAAGCTTTAGAGAGGGGACTGCGCGGGTGGTGGGGTTAAGTAGGTCGGTTCTCGGAAATTTAGTCGCGATGGATCACTTCACGGGAGCGCAACGTGCATTCTGCGTTAAACATTATTATTAAAATCACGATTCGTGCGCTATTGTTCGACGTTTATTTCGACGTGAGTTTGGATTACATGACCTAAATCAGTGTCCGAAGGAAAGCGTGATTCGATCGTGGGTCAGAAAGTTCGAAGCTACTGGTTCGACTCTCAAACAGAAGCCTGCGGGACGCCCAAGGTCAACAAGAACGGAAGACACAATTGAACAAGTTAGAGCTTCAGTTCAACGTAATCCTGCTCTATCGACTCGAAAGCGTTCAGCCGAACTTGTGGTGTCCAGAACATCTTTGCGTCGCATTTTGTTGAAAGATCTGAAATTGCATCCGTATAAAATTCAACTTGTGCAGGAATTACAGCCAATTGATCCAATTTTAAGGAGAGCTTTTGTTGAAACGATACTGGAACGCTTTCGGAGTTTCAACAATATTCTGTTCTCCGACGAAGCCCATTTTCACATAAATGGGCAGGTGAATAAACAGAATTGCCGTTACTGGGCTGCAGAGGCTGGCTTGCCCACGTGCAAAACATCAAAAGCCTCTACATTCGCCGAAAGTAACCGTTTGAGCGGCCATGTCAGCGCACGGAATTATCGGACTCCAATAACCCAGCCACAATTGACCAGTTGAAGACCAATATCCAGAAATAAATGGCAGATATTCCCCGTGCAATGTGCCAGCGAGTTTTTACCAATTTGAGGTTCAGATTCGAAGAATGTTTGCAGCGCGATGGTGCACATCTGGATGATATTATTTTTAAGAAATGAATTTCCCAGATGTAAATTTTTGTAGAAATAAAAATTTGTATGTGAATTGTACTTAGTTTTTTTTTAATTATTTTTTCAAATTCGCAATTCTTTCTGGCCCATCCTGTATACAGGGTATTTTTGGAACGCTCCCGAAAACTAAGACAGGCGACAACACCAAGTATACCTTTGATCATGGGTCACAAATAAATTCGATCCTGATGAAAAAAAAATCATCTTTTTACAACGTTCTATTAGTTTTATTCACGCGCCATCATGTTAGTACAGCTAAATGAAACGATAATTTCATAAAAAATATCATGAAAATAATGAAACATAAAACCAGCAGTGGAATTACTGAATTGATATCACCTGATCAAAGGTCAATGTACGCGCGAACGCAAATTCGCAATACCTAATAATTTACAACACTTGTCTAAATACCTAACTTATCTACTTAACCTACTATTTTGCCACTGTGCTTGTCTCCACGTAGCCACTTTAATCCGAATTTACAGGTTAAATAACCCAAATAACTGGTTCGATTCCCCGCTAATGAAAAAATACTTAAATGAAATGTAACCAAGGTTGGAGTCATGCGTTTTTATTCATCGTGTAGGTATGTTTATTATTCTCATTTATTCAGTTATGTACCTATTCAGATTAGTCTAGTACTAAGTTATTTAAAAAAATTGTTATGAAACAGCTTACCGCTCTAAATCCTCCGTGGTCTTATGAGATGCGGCTCAAATTGTGCTCCATTCATTTCAAGGTAGATTTGGGTGCAGGCGGGGCATCATCGTGTGGTCTTCGACACAGTCTGAACGTAGTTTCTCGAAAGCATCCACGATCCTTTGGCGCATTTCGTCAGCACTATCACACTCACGATTAAAAACCTTTTATGGTATGTGAAACCCCACAAAAGAAGTCTAACGGGGTCAGATCTGGTGAGCGAGGTGGCCAAGCGTGTGGTCCTATTCTGCCGATCTAGCGATCATCAAATAGTTCATTGAGGCGCTCACAGACGAACCTCACGAAATGTGGAGAGGTACCATCATGCTGGAACTATGTGCGGCGATATTCAGCCAACGATAGGTCGTTTAAAATGTCAACCAACTGTTCATTTATAAAGTTTAGGTATCGCTGTCCGTTCAGTCGCTCTGGCAGAAACACTGGTCCCAGTATGCGATCCTTAAATAAACCTGCCCATACGTTAACCGACCATCGGGTTTGGTGCCCGGTTTGTCGAACAGCGTGCGGCTTAACCTCTGAATACACGTGTGTATTTCTTCGGTTCCACAGGCCGTTTCTGGTAAATGTCGACTCATCCGTCCAGATAATGTGCTCAATGGAACCAGGCACACGTTGTTGCTGGTATAATAACCAACGGCAGAAAACTCGTCGGCGGTCGTGATCGCCGGGAACTAAAGCTTGCACTTTGTGCAATTTGTATGGGCGCATTCGGTTACGCTTCAA